CTTGTGGATGGAAGCGAATAGGGAAAATGAGCCATGACTCACCACGCGGTACTAGTGCGTATTGGTGGATGTCAACTATTGCAGATGCAACCAGGATGAACGTCTCACCGTGCCTTCTGAAGCATGGTGCAAATTTTTGGTCACCCATCTTATGACCGGCCCTTATGAAATATACTTAACAACCGTATCGCAGACCGAGTCCGCTAACCATATACACCTATATTTGTAATATAGGATCAATAAAAACATTCTTATTAGCTTCATGCGAATAACCAAGTGCCATCATTAGTCTTATACGATTAAACTACAACCGTTTTATTATCTATAAAACGAGGACTAAATTTAGTACCAGGTTTAATCCGAACAGAATAAGTCAATATGTAGCAATTTTACGTATTATCTTCTGTCATTGTCAATTTACTTCAGGCAGTCAACGGTTTAAACAAGTACTAACTTTAGCCATCGTTTAATTATAAGGGGTCATTCAAATTCAAACATATTCCAATGTTGAAGTAAAATTAAAGTATACTATACTTGAAAGAGTATAAGTTCGCATTGATTGCTTTTGTCTAGTTATTAAAATTATTTATGATAATTTGTTTATAAATTCAACGGATCGGTGCAAATCTGACGAAAGACGTTGAAGGGTTGAGGCTGGATAAAGTAAAGAATTGTGTTTACGACAAATATCATGCTGACTAACATTAACTGCGGAATGCGTTACACTATCCTCTTTGTTGCCCTAAGGAAAAAATAGCTTTATCCAGCGATGCATGGGTTATGACGTCACCTTAACCATTGCCATATGGTATGACTCATAATTTGATCGTAATGTGACTTAGATATTTATGTATGTATGTATGTCAGTATAACGTTTCGCGACCGACTATTACGCGACGCATCTTCCGTCAAATATGCACCGTAATGTGAATATTTTGTGTATACTTCTCGTGTATAGATTGAATGTATCTAATATATTGACTACGCCCTTTTTTGTGCACGGATGAAATCTATCCCAATAATATAAATCACGTTATAATATTCGAAAGGGCATATCGATAAACCATTTTGAACTTTACTGGTTAAGGTTAAGGCCCATGTGTAACCGTGGGCTTTCGATTGTTAAGTCAACAGAAATCTGTCAGATTTCTAAGTTTGATTTATAACCTATATACGTAAGGCGTAGAGTTTAAAATCGTGTTGTGGTAATCTAATGTGCTGTTGCGTGTGAACTCAAAGTTTGCAGTCAATATAACATCTAACTCGTATATTTTTTAATACATATCATTGTTTTTTTCATAGACTGAATCATTTGTTAGTTAATAGAGAAAAAATATTTGTGAAATTTATTTTAATGAATTGATTATTTTTATATCTATTCCATGAAAACGCAAGATCACAAAAGTTTATTTTTTTTTAATTGAAGCTCTTTTTTTAATTTAACTAGATTTTTTGGGGAAAATATTTTAAAGTTTTCCTTAGATCATATTAAATTATTCAGATTACTTAAAATTATAGATATTGAATTATTCAGAACTTGATATTGTGCCCCCATCCCCCCGCTTCATAAAGCCTTTTTTTTCTTCATTTTCATATTTTATTAGATTGGAGCTGGATTTTATATCCTGTTCGTCTCATCAATTGTGAAGCTTGGTTTTTGGACCGTATTATTATTATGATCTTGGCGCCTGACTCTGGCGCCCTGGGTAAGTGCTCCCACTTAGATCCGGCCCTGAAACCACAAAGAGATTTATTTTACTTAAAAAAATATGAAATAAACATAATAAGATACAAATCAATCATGTGCCATTTCTTGAGACCAGACAAATTTAACGACACCGTTATTTGACCGTGATGTTTCACCTCAAAGAATATTTCGGCCAAGAATTCATTTGACTTCACTTTTAAAATAAAAAATATATTTTCCAACTCTTAAATTTGTATTAGTTCATTTGAGAGCACTTTAATGAAGTGCAGCTATATAATCGTTTAGTATTAAATAATATGGATTATGTTATTGAATGATAACGTATTTGTGATAAAATCCTAATATCATTAGAGCTAAAGCCCGTTTCGTGTAGTTCCATTTTTATTTATGATAAAAATTAAACTCAATATTCGACAAGTACCATTTTTAATTAAAGACGAAAACAATATTGTAAAATTAAGCATTATAAAGAATTAGTGAATTTTTTTATGAATTTCGAGTGTTGCCATCTATTTGGACATGTGTAACATAAGTAGTTGTTATGGCAAGAATCTGTTAGTAAGTATAGACTGAAAAATTGTAAGTCACCGGTCTTGTATATAATGGTAAGATTTAAATAAATACGTTATGTTGATATTTGCAATAAACATATTGTTTCATTTCTTTCCTATGGAAGTTGATTCTTTACCAGATAGGTTATATTATTATTTTGGGTTATAATCCTCCGATCGGAACTTCGATTGGTCGGAGTGAGAATATTTTTCGCCATACCGCCGATTGAATGGGTTTTGCTTTTATCACCTACTTTTCCTTTTTTTTTAATGGACTTGTTCCGTTATACACGGAAATTTTGCCAACATCCCGTAGTGAGACACGTGACTCGGGAGACCGAACGGTAGTTATGCATAAACGTCCATTACAATTGTCATTCGTGTTAAGCCACATTACCCATAAAAAAATTGAAAATCCCCTTTAAGTTCTCATTAATCCTTAATGGACGTTTGTGCAACTGGCCGTATAATACATACAGTAAATACGTGAGACACCCTAGAACTTTGTGGAATCAATAATATAATAATACTATTAATAGTCAACAATATATTGATTGTAATATACCAAGCTCGCAAGGGAGTAAGCTCACTCTATGGTTTTATTTCTTCTTCTCTAGAACATGATTATTAAGGCAAATTTTCCGCAGTTGATTCTCAACTCTGCCTCCATAGCATTAAGCATTTTGACGACCTCCGCAGCAGAGTCGTTCGCACGCCGGTTAAAGTGCTGCCATCTCTGAGCTCCCGGGTTCGATTCCCGGTCGGTAGAAAATGAACTATATCGTCTCGGGTCTGGGTGTCGTGTATTTATTTATTTATTATGGTTTAAAGTCAAGTAGAGCAACTAAACAGATAACCTGACGTATTTTTGACAATACAACTACAAGGATAATAAAACAAATATTCATTGACAATAATTTATTACTATTTACATGTTTCTCCAAAATATTTACAGTAAAATAAAAGTACCCAGAAGGTAACAATATGTAACAAAAATTTCTTAAAATTCATAATAACGAAGAGTGAGCTCAAGAGATCTCGTCCATCAACCTGTAAAATCCGAGCGTCCTTTGGCTACTCTTTATTAATAATTAATATAAATTATACTGCGCAGTAATTATGTTGAATAAAATGGCGGTCTTCCGCGCAGGAAGATTTATATATATATCGTCTCCCTCGGATCTCAATCGCCGTCTTCATGTAAGCGGGAACGTCTCTTTGTTGAAAAAAGACATAAGATCGCTGTACTCTATCTGTCTTTCTCTAGTGGCGCAAAATAGACGAGAACTTTAAACAAACCGCCCAATCGTTTTGCTTCCGTTTCAGCGCTACACATCTGCTAGTAGAGAGAGACAGATATCGTATCGATATCATCTCTCTTTCTAATCGAATGACAACAGGGACGACGACCTGGCTTCCCTGTTTTCATCTTTAATACCTCTGTGTGTTACTTAAAACCAAAAACTATGTAACGTGAATTTGAATGGTGAATTTGATTATATTTGTCATTAAAACAATACAAACATCCATCCATATTACCATATATGCCTACCAACAATGATACCTGGCGAAAATATTGTATCCATACTGTTAAAACCCGGCAACTGACAATTTTTAGAAAAACGAAATTGGTTTACTCATAAATGCAGCATAAAATTTTCTTTAAATTGATCTATTTCATCAATTTTTGTAAAAAAATACAGTTAACAGGTTTTACCAGCATGTATGAGATAGTAACAAGTTAAAAGGTAATAAGTTTTTGTTACCTTAATATAATAGTTTTATTATCCTCTATAATATTTCGACAAAAGTTTCGAGTCCTAACTATTTTAGGTAAGCCAGACAGTATTAACTTTTTCAGAAAATTGTATATCATAAAGGAGAAAAACATGAAAGTTATAAAATGGGCAAGGGCACATGTCTTAACAACTGTATATTTTTCATGTATACCTATTATTTAAATATGAACCTTGTCCCATTCTAATAACGATGCAAAATAAACATCTTAATAAAGACAGCACCCTAAATTCTAACTCTATTGCACAATTATATAACATTTATAAGTGATTTACAATTAGTAACTCGAAATAATTTTCGCGACACCTTATCATAAGGTTTTCTAGCTCTAACACTCTTATGTTTACTATCGAAGGAAAGAGACGAAACTATTTCGAAATTCTATTTTATTCAGTGGTTATTGATGTAAATGGCCAATGTCCTCTCCATGAATTAAGTAACCGTTTCGGCCTTTTGGGTCTTGTATATTCTGAAAAAAAATGGTAAAGATTGAACATCATGTAAATATCGTAAACAACTCGAATAATCTTCAACAGGATTTATAAAAATACTAGGTGTTTTCCCGCGACATCACTACAATGCCAAAAGCGCAGCCGCGTACGTAGCTATAAGTGAAAGGATTTTTATGATCAGATCAATATTTACGAAAATTGCCCCCTACAAACAACAAGGTTAGAAACTTCACCCCTTGATGATATTACTATATGTATATTTATTTATGGGTTTGAAAGGATTCCTATAAATGCATTAACCTGATGAGGTACACCATTTATCTCTCTCTTTCTCTCGACTTTGACAAATGCTTGTAACAGCCTAGACTGAATAAATAATTTTGATTTTCGTAGTATTTATATGCATACTTATGGGACCCACAAAATTATGGTAACAATACACGCACAGGCAACGCAGCCTTTGCAGTTTTTGTGTGCACAGTTCCAGTTTATATTATTATTGGTAAATATTGTTAAACCCCTACAACAATGAAAATTTATTTATATAAAATATGGGAATCAATATCAACCATAAAACACTTACAATGCACTACCATTGTTATGCATTCCAATAGCGAATCCACATTCTGCATCCTTCATAATACAAAGAATTTCATCATTCAAATAATCACCGTCGGTTATACACATCCACAAGTTTTTTATGAATTCATTGATAGCTTCAGCTTCTACCTCATCAAAGGACCCTAGAAATTTGAACTCCGTATACAATTTTTCACTAGTAAACTCCCTGAAATATTCTAATATTTGATTCTTCAAATCCGTTTTGGTCAATAGGTTACTGTCACATTTTTGGACACTCATTATACTTTTTAGAAAGGGATTCTTCTCTCTTGCCAATACTTCCGTTGTCACTTTACGAAATTTGCTTTTCTTATCAGCCATTAAAGGTTTAGAATCCACTTTGACCTTAGTCATTCTGTATTTAATAACTCCCTTTTTTGTAATATGATATGATTTATTTTTTTTACTTTTGATTATGTTATTTTCTCCATGAACGTCGGTTGTTTCTTTGTTTAATGCTACATTTTCAGATAAAACTTCATTTTCCTTATGACCGTTAGCTGATTTTGTATTATTTTCTCCTTCACCTTCATGTAAATCACAGGAACTTTCACTACCTACCAATATTATTTTATTATCCTCATCCATTTTGGTTTCATTGACTTCTTTTATCTCATTTTTATGATGGGTTTGTTCATTTGATTCGTTTGCTAGAACATTTAATTCTGTATTTGGTTTGTTTGCTTTAGCTGGTTTTTCTGGTTCGTATCGTAAGTCATGATGTGTTACCACATACATGTGGGCAGGTGGTTCTTTATAAATGCAGAGAGTACTGTAAAAATATCAAAAGTATTAAATCCATATTTAAGGCCGTATGAAATAATGACAAAGCTCAACAAAGTACAACATGAAAATGAAGAGATGTCGAAACCGCGAAATACCAAGATACGATTTTTAGGATCAAATCCACCTCGTAATATATGAAGATAAAGTCTGAAGCCATAAAAAAGCAAATATTAAAGGAGTCATGACCGTCGAGGATGTCGAGAAGTAACCGCAAGGAATCCGGTGCAAAAATAATTTTACGTAACTACCCAAGATTTTATAAGTTTCATGACTGTTGTAAGAGGTAGCTCTGTGCGCTCTGATATATATAGTCTGTGACAGAGGGTGTGTACTCTGGGACAAGCCGGTATCATGGCGGTTTGATTATAAAATTTTTGTATAAAGAATAACTATCTAAAAGCATCGAGCTGGCGTATCATTATCAAGAACCCTCACAACTGTAATGAAATAATTTTCATAGCTAGTTAGTTGCCCATCCGACTTTTATCGTTATTTCAATCTATCATACCGGTAAAGAAAATATTGAACAATTCAAACTAAATTTTATCATAAATTCTACTTCATCTAAGATCTGTTTATGAGGTTGTCTAATATTTATTATTATTTATTTCTAGTTTGACATTTGAAATATAAACTTACCGGTTCGGCACCACACCTTCACTTTCAGTCCTCAAAATATAATTATTATACTTGATTATATCATTAAAAATGTCAATGTTAGGAACAGTAACGTCCGCTGTAGCAAGTATAGTATCAGCATTTCCAATCTTGTCAACAATATTATGTATCTTCCTGCGCTCATGGTTGTCTAATTTCGATTCGAACATAATCTCTATCTCGTAATCGTTTTTCACGAAATCCAGTATGTGTAACATGACATTTTTCTTAAAATATTCATTCATTAACTTTCTCTTTTCGGACTTTATCATAGTCTCCGTCGGCTTTGTTATCTGTTTCTGCTTCCGTTTCGGAGTTGGCTCCGGTTGACCAAAACCTGTTGTTCTTGTTGCCTGAAATAATATTATTCCAATATAGAATAATATAAAAAAACAAAGCTGGGCAGTTGTTAAAGACATAAGAAAGAAATCGGTAAATATATAATTTTGTTCTTATGAGTGATGAAATGAATAAAACCTTGGAGAACATCATCTTTAAGTGGAATTTAGGAGGGTAGTTGAATATCACCAATCAATGATATGTGAATATAGCCCATGTGCGACATCACGCCGTAGAATTCTCGAGGCGCTAGGTAAAATACTACATTTCTAGCTAAATTCAAAGGCCGTTCTGAGTGACAGAAAAGAATAGAGCGACGAAAAAGTAAACCGTGCTGCCAGATGCAGCTCAACCCTTAAGCTCCAACAGTACCTAATATATGTACGCTATTACGACATTCTAACGAAAATACATACAGGTAAAATTTATGTCGTTTATTTTATATTTAATAACCACAATAAAAAAGGACAAAAAGTTATTTAGTCCCTCAGATAAAAAATATTATGTTAGCAAAATTGCTTGACACCTACTGGCAACACCGGTTGACGTCATGTTATAAGTCGCAAGACGGGCGAAAAAGGGTCACTTTGGCTCCGGCCACGGAACGAGCAACTCCTCTCTGATTTCTTAATGCCTATTTTAAAATTATTGTTGAATGTACGCTCTAAAGTAAATTCTTTCTATATTAATCAGTGGTTTTATTATATTTAAAAATAGATAAAGTTTACATCAGAAGTGGGATATAGCGTAATACCCACATAAAATGGGTAAAAAGCGGAAGCATAAAGGTAGGCGTGAATACGGCCATAAGAGGAAAAGATATGCAAGTTTATCGTCAAGCAGTACTGCAGCGAGCGGTGACAGTGTCAGTGGTTCGAGAACACCGCCAGGGGCACCCCAGGCTCGAAAAAGGATAAAGGTATCACATGCTAACGATACTGGAACTGTGAGTACAAATCTTAATACTTCTCTGCACAATATGATACCAGATTTCGACCCGCTTACGGACAATGTTTTGTCATGGCTACAAGTTATCGAATCGCACGCGTCTACGTTTTCTTGGACTGATAGTATGACCCGTTATCAAGCATTAAATAAACTGAAAGGTTCCGCTAAAGTATGGTATGAGTCTATATTGCGCAATAATCACTCGTGGACGACTTGGTAGTGGTTCGATTGGAAAGAAAAGATTTCGAATACATTTAGAGTAAAAAGAAATATGTTTGAATTATTAAAATAAATTGTTGACCGCAAGCCCGTCGAAAATCAATCATTATATGATTTCTTTTTTGAGCAAAGCCAAAATAATGATAGTCGCAGCAGAAAGTTACTCCCTTCTTTCAAAGGACCGTTCCAAATAAAGAAATACCTGGGTCAAGATAGATACGAAGTCCAAGACATGCGGGGTAGTGATAGAAGCAATAGAACCTATAATGGGGTAGCAGCTATAGAAAACATGAAGCCCTGGATTAAAATTGATGATTGGAATATTCATTAAAAAGAAAAGTAACCGTGTTAGCAAGGTATTTATTATACTCGTACATTTTACTGACATTATAAATAATTGCTAAATTTAGATTTACGTAAAGAATTAACAAGATATTCATATTTAATTATAAAATAATTCAGCTATTGAACAGCTATTGAATTATCCTGAAATTAGTTCTTGTCATCACACTGCCCAAGTTAAGAGTAGTGAGCTGACACCGTCGTTTCCTAAGAATAAAGGTATTGACGGGAACAGGCACTTCTCAGTTGTAAGGGAGTGAGTTGATGCGAACACTTTAGGAGTTTTCTAAGCCTAAAGAAAACATACCTAATGTGGGTAGTCAAATTCACATTAATTTAAACTATTACAGAGCTTCAGAGGTAACCTAAGCATAAAGGACCCGAGTAGAAAGCTCTGTAATAATGATGGTGCATGATAGGCCGAACGGTATTCTGATAACTAATATAGGACCTCTTGAATATGTTTACAGATGTGCTGTCTTCCGGGACACAGAACAGTTGTGCTGTTGAAACTGTCGTGCATGAGGGCATGCACCATGCAGGAGGGCCGTGTTAGCAAAATTGCTTGACACCTACTGGCAACACCGGTTGACGTCATGTTATAAGTCGCAAGACGGGCGAAAAAGGGTCACTTTGGCTCCGGCCACGGAACGAGCAACTCCTCTCTGATTTCTTAATGCCTATTTTAAAATTATTGTTGAATGTACGCTCTAAAGTAAATTCTTTCTATATTAATCAGTGGTTTTATTATATTTAAAAATAGATAAAGTTTACAATTAGATAAGTATTTTTTTACAACTATTCAACAAGAAATAGTTTTGATAAGAGGCATAAAAGTTGAGAAGTAACGTGTGAAAGCATGACGTCACGTCATTTTCACTCAATGTATCGCCATAATTTAATGGTTATACAAAAAATAAAAAATACGTGTTTAATTCTTTTCAACAATCTACCTGACGGACAAACAAAAATGATGTAGTCATCCCTATTTTTTAAGTCGATTAAATACAAAAAAAAATATTATTCTTTTTGATTTTCTCTTAACCTAAAACTAAAAACCTAATAATAAACAAGTGGGTAAAATAGATGAGAGAAAAGGTACGAGCGAGAGGAAACATCGAAAGGGATTGCATGAGGTTGCAGATGACGAAGGTGGTAGTAGTGTATTTCAAACATGATCAAATACAAGCCATATTATTTTAAAATAATATTATTGAAAATCCCACACCACCCATTACATAAATAAGTTTTTCCTCACCTACTTATTACGTAGCATTCGATTACAAACTATGCTACCGCAGAGTCGGATCAGTCACGCTGGTGCCCAACGTGGGGCCTAAATAATACGTAGAAAATATTTTAAAAGCTTTACAAAATATGCAACACTTACATAGTCTGTGTTAGGCACTATAGGTTCGACAATTCCTTCACCACTCTTTCCCAAAGCTCCACCTTGCCAGCCCATTTTTGCCATCATACTAAAATATTTAAAAAAATTTAATACAGCGATTTCTGCCACATATGTACTTATTCAGACATGCTCTACATCCAAATAAAATCAATGAATCACATAAAACAAAAATATTTTTCGATGGACTTTCAACTTATAACCTGACTACAAACAAACTAGTTGGGGCAGTTAAGAAAGCGAGGACTTTTATAAACTATTATTTTCAATAATTCTTCATTCCTAATATACTAATAAATTTTCAAGTACAAATCATTTTATATACGAAAGAAAAGACAAACTATTTATTTCGCGCAATACTAGATGGCGTTAAGTATAATTCTGCATCGAACTGTTTTGTCAAAATTTAGTTCTTAGTATATTTATTTTGGTAATTGTCTAGAAATCTCTTATCATATGATATAATAAGCGACAAAGAGAATCGTTCTATTATTCCATACTAATATTAAATAGCGAAATTTGTTCAGACAGAAATAGTTGAAATGAGATTGCTTTTTATTGTGATAACAAGGTTGAAATAGGTATTTAAAGTTTGAATGGAAGTTCGTCAATTTCAAAGATAAAATCATCAAACTTTATATTCAGGTTTGAATACTATTTGTTTTAGCGTTTTTAGAAATGCTGCCCAAACTCTAAACGCGGACGAAGTCGCGGGCAAAAGCTAGTTAATATTTAAAATTCTCCAGCTTCCATAATTAAACTAAAGGATCTTTTAAAGTTAAGATACTTCACGCTAAGAACTCACAAAGCGATTTCCTCCGCCATGGCTGAGGGACGCCAGTATGGTCTTATATTATACCTAATGAATAAAAATTACTGCGTGTGTTCATAAGTTTTGAGACGAAATAAAAGTTGCATTTCTTTTTTAATAATTAACTTATATTTCTTAAATTTTCAGTAACCATTAAATAGATAATAATTAACAATAAAATATATATGTTATTTAAAATGACCGACCTTGTTTTTAATACAGGCCCTTAGACAATTTAGCCAGTCATCAATAGCGGCATGAATCTTTTCTAGCGGAATTCGCTTTGCTTCTCGAACAAGGGTTCGTTTCAGTGATTGGGACTTTCGGCATGCCCTGAGCTCTTATTCATAAAGAATAATCCTGCGGCTTGAGGTCGGGGCTGGAGGAGGGCCACTCGTCCGCCGCGATGAAGGCCGGCACATTCTCCCTCAACCAAGCTTGGGTGCTTTTTGCCTTATGGGATGGCGCCGAGTCTTATTGAAAAACCCAATCCTTATTGTGAAATAACATATCAGACAGGAGTTTCACCACGGGCTCTGATAATTCTTAGCTTTCACCTTGACACCTTGTGGGCAGAAATGGAACGGAGTGACACCTTCATACGAATGTCCCCACCCTACCATCACACTAGCCAGATGATGAGTGCGCGACATTCCGTGCACAAGCTGGGACATACTTGCTACTTTTAGCGTACATTTTATTGTTTTGTCGGCTGAACTTTTCTTCGACAGTAAAATTTTTCTCGTCGGTGAAGAGAATCTTCCTGGCATCATGTCTTCTCAGCAGCAATGGACAACGTGCGCGTCGCAATTTACGAAGGCAATCTTTTAAAAAGTGAACTTTTCTACGGCTATAGGCCTTGACCTTGAGATCATATTTCATATTCTGTTCACTGAAACGCGAGAAATATTAGTCTACAGAGCGAGTTTCTTCCGAGTGCGACATGGATTTAGGCAAAGTTGCTCTCGGATGATTTGATGTTCGCAGGCGTCCACACAGAGCGTGGCCGACCACTGCTTTGGCGATCTTGCAGAGAGCCTGTCTCTTTGGATAGCCGTATTGTGTAATAAAGTTACGGCTTACAGGAAAACTTTTCAGCTCGCGGAAAAACTGCATCGGAGTTTTCCCGCTTAAATAACGAAATAACAGTTGCACGTAATTGTTTCGTTCCCTCCATCACGATAAAATATTAACAAATGACTTTGCGATACAAATAAACTAAAAGTTAACATTCCAAATTCAAAATCGGTAAAAAAATAAATAACAGCCAATAACATTTTAGTTTATTTTTTCCGTAAAAAGTTTGTCTCAAAACTTATGAACACATGAGGTATGATGATACCAACTGTTACATATGGCACCTGCTACACCAGTGGTTCTTAACCTTTTAGTCGCTAGGGATTGATTAATATCTTTCTGTGGCAGTTTCGGAGCAACCAGAGGTCTATCAGTTTTATTTTCTCTATATTGAAATAAAAATTCCGTGCCATTGATTTTT